AGACAGTTCTGTCTTAAAGAATTTTTAAAGTGAGCTAGGCGAGGCCAGTCTGATCTCCTGCCTCTCTGATAAATCTGTCAGGCTACAGACACCATGTGGCTCCTGTCCACTCACCTGGGTATCCAGGTAAACACAGAGGGAAAGACAATTGAACATGATGAACAGAGGCACTCCAGAAATGATTGCCTCATAGAAAGCTAAAATCAGGAGTGCTAGAAATGAAGACTACCTGACAACTGAGGATTATAGGACTAGAGAGAGTGAGAGGCTTGAGAGAAAAAAAACAAAAGCATGTTCCAGGCAAGAAAGGTCAAGATTTTCATTCAGGAGGAGAAGAGGTGCTTCCTAGGAAAGAACTGGAAAATGAGGGAAGCAGGGTTCAAGAAAGTTTGAAAGAATATGTTGAAAACAAACCCTGATTCTTCCCAGGTTTGTCTAGGGCAGGTATAAATTCAAAGAGAAAGAATGACAGAAAGAAGGAATGGAAGATCTGGAACCAGGGCCTGGAGGTATGGCTCAAATGCCAGGGTACCTGCCTGCCAAGCACACAAAGCCCTGAAGCTCAAACCCTAGTAGGAAAAGAAAGATCTAAAGTCAACTTGCAAAACTGAACATGTCAAAGAAACTTGATAATGTTAACACTGTGATATTACCATGTCAAAAGGTACAGTGCTAGAATTTTGTTGCATATCTAAGTAAATAAATACTCAGGGTTTGGAAATCTTCACTAATGTTGAAACTGCATTATGATTCAATGTGGTGGTAAATGCCTGTAGTCCCAGCTACTCAAGAGGTAGATTTAATTTGATGTGAGATCCTATCTAAAAAATAAACTGAAAGTAAAAGATCTGGGGATGTGGTTCAAATGGTAGAAGACTTGACTAAGAAGAATAAGTTCAATCCTTATACTAAGGATTGAACTCTAAGGAGTTGAACTCCTTAGAGTTCAATCCTTAGTATAACACCCCTCCAAAAGAAAAGAAAAGATATTATATTGAAATTTTATAATAGCCCCATTAGTTATAAAAACTACTTTTAAAGAAGAGATGAGTAAAAATAGAATGACCACAATTCCTACTAGGGAAAGCAAGATGCACTTTTTGAAGAAAAAAATGAATGAACTCTTAGAGTAGAGATGAGTCCATAAGCAAGCTCAATGAAAAAAGATGGTATTAAATTATGAATAATAATAAGATATATATTTGTTGCATTTTCAGAGGAAGCATGGAAGAATAGAAAAACAAATCCCTCTAAAGTGGGCATGAGGAAGGATTAGAGAGAGTGCACCTTACAGGGAAAAAAAAACCAAGAAAGTATAGCGACTGAAGGATGAAGATTTGGTTGAAATATGCATAGCATACATAATAAGTTCTTCCTTCTTTTAAATATTTTTATTGTATTATTTTATTCTTTTTTTTGGGGGGGGTCCGGTCGTGGGGCCTGAACTCTGGGCCTGGGCGCTGTCCCTCAGCTCTAGGCTAGCGCTCTATTACTTAAGCCACAGCGCCACTTCCGGCTTTTTTCTTTTTTGCTTATGTGGTGCTAAGGAATAGAACCCAGGGCCTCAGGCATGCAAGGCAAGCACTCTACCACTGAGCCACCTTCCAAGCTATTGTATTATTTTATGACAGTAAGAATATTAACATTAGAACTACCCTGTTAAGAGTTTTTAAGCAGACATTAGACTTTTCTCTATGGGCACAATGTTAAATGATTTCAACAACATGGACAATGGGCCATGGAATCACCATATGTTTTGTCATGCTGGTAAAAGCTACATTTCTACAATTCATAATTTGTTATAATCCCTGTGCATACTAGGTAGAATGCTTGAAAACTGTCAAGTTAAATAACAAGTAAAACAGTAACTGGGCTCATCAGTCATTCGCTGGCTCATTCATTAATCAACAGACATACATTTGGTACCTATGGAAGAACTGAAATTCACCCAGATCAGAACAGTAAAGAAGGCCCTGCCTTGCGGATACTCAATTCTATGAAATTTCTTGGTTTTTGCTTGTGGTAGTCTGAACTTTTGCCTCCACTTTTAATATTCCAAATGTCTGTGAACAAAATCATCCAATTTCCCAAAACAATTTATAGCATCAGGTGTAATGTGCAGAGAGCTAAAGATTTGGAGAAAAGTAGCACAAATGAAAATCTATGTGGAGTAGCTCCTTTATGAGGAACTATGTTGCAGTTCGTATTTTTCACCCATTACAATCTAAAGCAAATTACAATATAGTTAAAAAATATGGGTGTCTTGGGTACCACAACCTAGATGCTATTTGTTTATCAGAGGAACAGTGTGGTAAAGGAAAAAGCATCAGACCCAGAATCAAAAAGACAAAGCTCTAGTTGGTTTGGATTAGGTGCTCAAACTTTATGATTAGCAAACTTTATGATTCCCTCTGGGCTTTCCTTTGATCAGTTGTAAAATCAAGAGCTAGATCAGATGATCCTTGATATGTCTTGCCTTATAATATTTTTTGTCCTATAGCTTTGTAGCAAAAGTTACTGTCAGCTAAGTATTTCCTAACTATGGCAGTTAAACATCTTAGGACCCATTCTGAACATTTAAAAACAGACACCTGGCGATAATTCACAGATACTAGATGAAAAGTTCTGAGATCTTAAAAAAATTGGCATATCATGTTATGGTGAAGTCCCCATTTAGTATTTAGTCTCCAGATTTTTCTTCTACAAGCTTCTTCAAGTATGTAAATCTCACAGGCCACTTTTAATTTTAACATGTCAAATTCTACTCACTTTGTATCCTTTCCCACAATGCTCTCACCTTACAACACCTCCATTTTACCTTCTACATCCAATCAACCTTCCCCATCATTCATTCTCAGTAAGCTACCATCCCAGTTCTGTTTTGCTTAAAACTAGGTTCTGAGACATTGAAAAAATTAAATTGACTAGATCATATTTGTGCTTAAAAAACTTCAAGTATTCACTTATCACCAAAGAATATCTAGACTACTTATCCTGACATTTAAAACCTTTCAGAAGTTGATAACCACATGCTTGATGTTCACATGGCTAACTTTTTGCCATTACTCCAGTTTCCCCATCTCTACTTGGAGATGATCAAGACCCATCTTTCTATGATCAAGACCCATCTTTTGTCCCTCCTTTCTTCCCTTCCTTCTCTTCTTCCTTCCTTCTTCCCTCCTTTCCTTCCTTCTTCCCTACCTTCTCTCTCTTTCCTTCCCTTTGCTCCTTCCTTTCTTTTCTTTTTAGGTGGTATTGAGGTTTGAATTAAGGGCCTATCTCCCACTTGTTAGACAGGTACTCTACCACTTGAGCTATGTATCCAGCCGATATCCATCTTTAAAAAAAACACACACAGGGCTGGGAAGGTGGCTCAGTGGTAGAATGCTTGCCTTATATGCATGAGGCCCTGGGTTCAATTCCTCAGCACCACATAAGCAGAAAAACCTGGAAGTGGCCCTGTGGCTCAAGTGGTAGAGTGCTGGCTTTGAGCTGAAGAGTTCAGGGACAGCGTCCAGCCCCAGAGTTCAAACCCTATGACCGACAAAAAACAAACAAACAAACCACACACACACTCCCAATTTATTTGCTTTTGATTCACTTTTTTTTTTGGTCATGGGGCTTGAACTCTGGGCCTGAGCACTGTCCCTGAGCTCTTCAGCTCAAGGCTAGCACTCTACCATTTGAGCCACAGTACCACTTTCTGAGTGGTTTATTGGAGATAAGAGTCTCACAGTCTTTCCTGCCCAGGCTGGCTTTGAACCGCAATCCTCAGAGCCTCCTGATTAGCTAGGATTACAGGTGTGAGCCACCAGCACCCGGCATGATTCACTTATTTTTATGTAAATTAATTATTTTTTTAAGATACATTCATGAAGAAGTCTTTTCACACTCAAAGAGACTCTACAGCCACACTTAATTCTGTCATTTTCTCAGCAACAAAAGGGAAGATATTCCTTAGTTTATAACACTGCTCAATAACTGTACTGTTACTAGATCTTGCTTTCTGCAAACAACTGTGAGTTCTGTGAGGACTAGGGGCCATGTGCCCTCCTATGAAACTTTTCCAGTGCCTGATGCTGTCAGAGGCCTGCAAACTTCTAAGGGATACCAGGCTCTTCCACATACCATTCATTCAATGTTTCATTTGGAATGAATGGCAGAATTGCCAGTAGATAAATAGTTACACATCAAAGCAGGAATTCCATTCTCTCTCCATCAAAAAAGAAACAGTTCTTTCTATATCAGAAATTGATTCTGGAATTCAAAAGTTGATGACCCAGGGCTGGGGGTGGGGTGGGGAGGTATAACCTAGTGATAAAACAGGTGCTTAGCATGTATGAGGCCCTGGACTAAATCCCCAACACCACCAAAAATAAACAAACAAGCAACAAAAATGAAAGAAAAGTACAAAAACAAACTTGGAAATGAGAAGAAAAAAAGTATTTAATTTTAAGATGATGAAACGCAGTTTCATTTGAAGACAAATTCTGTCTTAGGCTTGACACAGTACAAACAGAAGAGGGAATTGATAGAAAAATGTCATAAACTTCTAAATAAGGTGTGGAACTGAAGACAGGAATGGGAGGATTCACTCCTGGCAGGTTGGCTCTTCAGGATGGACGTTCCCTTTGTTACTTCATTAACGTTCTATGTAAAGACAATGATTTCTATCAATGAGAATTATTGACATCTAAAGCAAACACTCTCTTGTGAATTGCTAGATGGTTCACGGGGTAATGATGACGCACTAAAGAAGCCTACTGTTTGTTTCCTCTAAAGAAAGAAAATCAGGTGTTTTAGTATACTTCAATCAAATGTTGGGTTGCTTATAATTTTCAATGATCATTTTCATATAAATTTTCTAGTTGAGATGTAACATAGAATACCTGTAATTACCGTATCTTATAGTGGGTAAGATGAGTTTATTTCTGGGCCTGTCTGGAGGAAGACGCCTTAGATAAACACTCTAGAAGAATTTTATGGGTAAGTAACAGTACCTGTTTTCTTCCCTAAGATGATTTTCCAAGGCTTGTGTCTCCCGATCCAACTTTCGGAACCTCGTATGGTCTCTCCAGGCTCGCAGCACCTTCAGTTGAAGCTTCCAGTCAGACAGGGTCCCCGCTTTCCCCAGCTGAATCCTATGATCAAGAATCAGCTTGTGCCAGGCAGAGAAATATCGCTTTTGACACTGTAATGGAAACATTTGGAAAAATCACTACGAATCACAGCCCATGTTTCTAATGTCTAATATCAAGAGTCTTCTTTTCTGATTCCCCCTTTACACTTGATATGACAAGTCTGGAAAGTGTGGTCTCCCTGGGAGAGAACAAAGCACAATTCCTTTACACTGATGGTGATAAGTCAAGTCATTCAAGTGAGGCATTTTCAGACTCGCAACTTAAAACTCCATAATTCTGATTTGGAGGTATGAGTCGTACCGGAAGCTGTGAGATATGAATTAAGGGGCTTGAGAAACTTCAAAGACCTGCATCCACCATGTCCTATCCTACCAGGTTGTCTTGGAGCTTGAAATAGCAACCATTTAATTAATTCCTGTTACTCATACTACTGATGTCCTGTAAGCGTGAACCCTGGAGATCCTAGGAGGATAGAACAGGGGGTTCTTAAGTCAGAGAAGGCAGCCTAACAGAACAATTAGAGTATGTCAGGAGGTTTAGACACAAGATGCTCAGGTGGCCTGTAATCATCTAACACATGAAGATGCAAATTAAGCAACATCTATACCATGAGGGAATCCCTAGAGTAATATCTAGACCAAGAAAAATCAATGCAACCTAGTCCTTGTTTACATCTTCTGTCTCTACAGAACATTGCATTCTTCTACTAACTTACTTTTAGCTCTTGGCCTTGATGCCAACCACATTATTTCATACTTTCCTGTCTTCATTGTCATTTCTCTTTCTTTTCTGAGTACTTCAAGAGTCACCTCTCTCAAAAAGAATTCCTATCACCAACCTTCTTCCCAAATGTAAGTGTCTACTCAAGTATATTCTCAGAGCAGTGCATGCTTTCTTTAGTCAAAAAAGCATTCTTCACATTATGTTATAATCACAGGCTTCCTGATTTCCACAAGACTGCAGAATGGCAAATCCAAGAATCATTCTGAGTGTGAGGAGACTAAAATAAAGAATAACCTCACAAGAAGTGACTTCAAAGACTTTGGCAGGCTCAGCCCTATTTGTGGCTTCCTTCTTTGTAAACATATTTGTCATTATTTCAACACTTAGTAAACATGCTTGAGTTTAGAACCTCTGAGTAATATTTTTAAGATATAATCTCTACTTTTTAGAGAATAAAGAAATAAAATGATCATTAAGATAAACAAGCACGTTCTAGAATTCTTAGAAATATACTGTTTGGCCAGAATTATTACTTTCATGTTTAGAGGAACTACACTGTTGTAATTCTCATCGGGGAAAAACCAGGGTAAAGTTTTTTTTTTTTTTTAAATTCTTGTTCCCTGTCTGTTATTTCTGAGGAAGGCACATTTTGCAGACCTTTACCTTAGATTCCCTGGAAGAAGAGAAAGGGAAGGGAAAAAAAGAGGAGGAAGGAAGAAAGGGAAGGATGAAGAGATATGCTGAATAGAGGATATGACTTCAGTCACACAAAAAAACACACAGCTGCCGGGTGCCCGTGGCTCATGCCTGTAATCCTAGCTACTCAGGAGGCTGAGATCTAAGGATCAAGGTTCAAAGCCAGCCCGGGCAGGAAAGACGGTGAGACTCCTATCTCCAGTAAACCACTAGAAAACCGGAAGTGGCGCTGTAGCTCAAGTGGTAGAGCGCTCGCCTTGAGCTGAAGAGCTGAGGGACAGCGCCCAGGCTGCGTTCAAGCCCCATGACTGACAAAACAAACAAACAAACAAAAAACACAGCTGTCAGAGTAAAGGAATATAATTTTTATATTATTATTTATCTATTTTACATTGCATTTTAAAAATTATATAAACGTGTATGAGAAGAAAATTCCCTAAGTCTACTTACCAGATACATTAACAAAGACTTCTTGACTTGGTAAAATATTCTTTTTTTTTTTCGGTCGTGGGGCTTGAACTCTGGGCCTGGGTGCTGTCCCTCAGTTCTTTAGCTCAAGGCAAGCGCTCTACCACTTGAGCCACAGCGCCACTTCCGGTTTTCTGGTGGTTTATTGGAGATAGGAGTCTCACAGTCTCTCTTGCCCGGGCTGGCTTTGAACCGCGATCCTCAGATCTCAGCCTCCTGAGTAGCTAGGATTACAGGCTTGAGCCACCAGCGCCGGCTTGACTTGGTAAAATATTCTATACATAGCTATCTGTAATTTTCACTCCTAGGTTATTCTAATGATGAAATTGTACTAATTGAACTTGACAATCATACAGTAATATCCTTGGATTTCCAAAATCTGTAAAATTTAAAGCAACTTCTATGTGCTGTTTAATTTCTTTTCTTCTCTTTGTCTTTTCTTTTCTTTTCCCTTTCCCGCTCCCTCTCCCCAGTACTGAGGTTTGAACTTAGAGATTTGAGCTTGCAAGGCAGGCACCCTGCTTACTGCCAAAGCCACATCTCCAGCTCTGTTTTACTCTGGTTGTTTTGAGATAGGTTCTCAATTTCCCCCATTGCATTAGCCTGGACTTACAACTGTCCCTATCTCAGAAACAGAAAAAAAATAAAAAATAAAAAGGTTGAGGGCATTGGTCAATTGGTAGAATAATGTGTAAGATCCAGAGTTAAATCGCTGGTACCATTAAGGAAGGAAGGAAGGAAGGAAGGAAGGAAGGAAGGAAGGAAGGAAGGAAGTGAGGGAGGGAGGGAGGGAGGGAGGGAGAGAGGGAGAAAAGAGAGGAGGGTGAGAGGAAAGGAAAATAAAACAAAACAAACCTGAGGTTTTAAGACCAAAATTAGATTTTGGATTTAAAGATATATAATTCCGTTTTGCTACACAGAAGTTAACCTCAGCAAAGTGAAATTCATGGAGCAACTGCCTTCCTGAGATTGATTGGCTACTGAATTTTCTCTGCTGCTCAAAAAGGCGGTCTAATTAAAATTTAAATAAAAATATATAGTATGACTCAAGGAGAGCTGCATAGTTATTCTTGATTTATAACAAACATTGTTCTCATGAATCCCTGATAAATGTGAATAGAAGTAAATACTCTGGAGAGGAATATTCTTTGAGTCCTAGTTCTATTTTTATTTAGAACAGAAGACAAGATCTATTTATTCTTTGTCTTCTCCCCTCCCCCAACTACCTGATGTTCCTAGGCATGTTTCTTCTGATCACTTCAACATTCTAGAACTAGAATAATGCTTATCTCATTCCTCTCTGAAACAAAACTTTACAAACATAACTGGGGGTTTATGCACTGTACACGTAAGTTGAAATGTTGAATTGAAACCCCGCTATACAACCACTTAAAATGATTTTTTTAAAGGAAAGAAAGCATATAACTGGAAGGGAAGAGTAATGCCCATGTTTAAGCTAGGAGAACTTAAAAAGTTTTTTAACTAGCCAGATGTCTGACCCTTTTCCATTTCTTTCCCACTTCATCTGTTTCTGTATCAGGTTTTTACCTCTCACACATTTTCAAATTCAGTCACATATTCTTTTGCTAACTTCTACTGTCTTTATCATAGTTATAGTGATAATTAGAGCTTGATACAGGTAAATGAAGTAGAAGGAATCATTGTGGAGAGGAACTGCTCCTAAGTATATAACTACAATAAAAATACTACTATGTGAAATTTAAAAGTTTTAAAGTGAATGCTTTCCTCCCCACAAAAATCTTCCACAAGACATCATTTTGCTTTTAAGGATTCCACGCAAGAGAAGAAATGACAGCTCGCCCTGCTAAATTTATTACCTGCACTGGAGTTGCCCTCGTTCTGTTGGCAAGAAAAGCTCTTCCCTGAAGTGTAATCACATTGCTGTCACTGCAAATGATTGACGTTAGGTGGAACAGCAATTTGCTATCTAATCTTCATTGTAATTCTAACCCTGTCACTAGAGATGCTTGTTCTGATTAATGAAGTGGGTAACTCATCAAGATTCCTCAGCGATTTCCTTTTTGTCAGAAAGCTCAGTGATAATTGCATCAAAATTCTCTGTCATGGAAAAATAAACAATGGATTGTAAAGAGGACAAAAGTGTCAACAAGTTTACGATTTATTTTTTGCTGAATGGAACTAACTGTGGTGTAACCAGTGGTCCAGGGGAGGTGGCCAAGGTTCAAATGTCAGGAAGAAAAACTATACTCCCCATATGTATGACCCTCACCCCCCCCACACACACAAGTAAACTCCTATTGCTCCTGTTCCAAAAAGGACAGATAACTAACTCATTGTTAGGAAAGGAAGCAATCTACAATCTCATTTTTTTTTCCTTTTGGAGACTATTATAGCTAGGGAAAATACTTCACAGATGTTACAAAGAGCCTGGTGCCTGGGAAGAGAATGATCTTTACCACAGTGATCAGTCCCCAGTGGGAACAATCAATCCTGAATTTTGCAATGGAAAGAAACTATCTTATGATCCATCCTCCACCTGTTATTTTACTAGGACGCCTTCCCCGACAAAGAGGGAGAAGAAATCATGGCACCTCTCCACCCCCAATCAAATATACTCCCTAACTGATTACACTAGACCCAGATGTGCTGTTAGATCCCGTGGATAAACCTAGATAGAAGCTGAAAATATAATAACCACTACTAGATGAAACTTCAGTATTTAAAATTTTCCTCCTTCAAAACTTATCAGCATTTTGCCTGTCCTATTCTTCCTCCCAGCACTGTTTTTTCCTTTCTGTTGTATTTTAAAATGAGTTCCAGACACTGTATCATTTTACCCATAAATGTGTCCATATGTACCAGCAACATAGGGATGTTTTGTAAATTCTACTTAATTCTGCTAAAGTTTCAAACAACAATGCTGTTGTATTTATTTAATAGCTGTTTTCCTTTACTCTAAGAGTAACAGATTTTCAGGAAGGAGCTGCTTAGTCTTGCTGTCTGTAAAATCTTACTCAGCTCAAGTCTGTGCTTCTCTTTTAAAGAAGAATGGCCATAATACAGCTTATCACTTGATTACTGTTAGAATAGAGTACCGTATGAAACACATCCTGGACCAATTGAGAGGAGGCCATCATGTTCTTTAGAGAACACAGGCCTACTCTTACTGCTCCCTTTTGCC